GGATCACTGTGACACAATCTTGTTTTCTCTAATGTTCCAAAAGAAAGTTTCACTCTTGTATACCCAGGACCAAGATTGACTCTTAGGTTGTGCTTTCTCTAGCCTCCCCTGCTTTTTCACAAATGCAAATCCAGGACCCTTGTTCTCACTCTTTTGCCTTCCAATTAAAACAACAACAACATTTCTTCACTTAACGAGCAATTTCACCAACACCCTCTTTACCTAGCTTCTAGTGGAGAGGGAGGCACCCTAAGGTTTTGATCTTCTTTCCTGTAACCAGGGGTTTCTTGAGCCTCTTTTCCCATTTTGGTAATTTGCTTTGACTTCCTTAGGAATCTCTTATAAGGAGGAAAGAGTAATCAGAGGGAGGAAGAGGTTTGTACAAAGCATCTCAAGATAGCCTTTTTTCCTGATGGAATATTTTTACAAACCCCCTAAGTTAAGAGTTTCATCAATAGAATGCCTACAGCCTTACATTTTCCTTGTGTTTTCCAAATATTCCTTGTAAACAAGAGCAAACCTAACCTTTTGTTCTCTTCCATCCCACATCCCTTATGTACCGCTCCCATAAGTTATGAGTCTACCATCAGAAAAAACCTTACCCTCTGTTTTCAAGAAATTATTTCTCTTGCCTAAGGACATATGGACAGACTTGAAGCTTTCCAAAACAAATGACCAATGACTGTCTTCACCTCTAAAATCATTCTGTGCATAGACTGTGGACTCAGATAATATATGAACTAATGACCAAACAGCCCAGAATTTTCCAGAGAATTTAGCATTACCACTGCTTGGAAGAAGTGCTTTTCTGCGTCCCAGTGAAATAATCTTTTTCCTGATGTCCAAAACTAAATATGCTATCAAGAACACCACAGTTTTCCATTGGTAAACATTACATCTCCTTCGTTTGCTTCCCAACCTGAAATAAAACATGAGGCTGTGTAATCACATATGTCCATTTCCCAGTGGTGGGAAGCATGTTCCCCTTGCCTGTTTTTGCCAGCCCCTCCCAGACCACCCTGCTTTGATGATGACTGAAAAAGTAGAATTGCCACTCCCAGAATTTATTTATTTATTTATTTATTTATTTATTTATTTATATGTCACCTTCTTGCAGTGGGACCCAAGATGGCTTCCAGAAATTAGCCCCTGAATTCAGGAATTGTTCTTTAGCAAAGCACTGTCATGCCTTGTTTTGACCCTACTATTTTCTCCCAAGTGGGTTTTATGAAGCCTGAAGTGAACCTCTGGTCATTAATGAGTTTTTTGGAGGCAGGGTTTACCTGTAGAAAGTTACGGTGATGGGAAAGTGGCCACTAGACCTGTAAAGCTTATCCATCCCAATAGAGTCCATGTTTCCATCATCATTGCTATCATCATTGTTGTTAAAAGTATTTATATATCAACTCTGGGTCCACCAGTTCTCCCAAAATGATGCAAATAAAATCTCATTCGCAGTGCTCATTTGCAAATAACTTTTGGGAAAATATACATGATAAAATTCAGAAAATATTTCAAGTTAAACTGGAAAAAGATCCTAAATTTTTACTGTTAGGAATACTGGAGGAAAATCTATCCTTTTAATTTTTAAAGTTTTAAAATGTATACACAGTTAAAACAATCAGCAGAGCCACCCTGTTTTTAAGGTCTAAAGGCCATATGAAAAAGTGCAGTCTTGGCTGCCCATTGGAAGCTCAGTAGAGATGGGGCCAGTGAACCAAAGCTGAGATGCTGCTAAGGAAGCAGGAGCAGAGTGGGACTTCCAAGGACCAGGTCTTCAATGTCTTTGAAAGCTTTTTGCCCATCCTTATAACTGGCAGAAGTAGAATAAATTATGCTGGCATGGTTAATTTAGGTTGCACTAGGGGGTTTTGTGTGGGTAGTTTGGGTTTTTTGTTTGTTTGTTTGTTTTTGGTGCATAGTGTGTGTGCTGGGGATTTGGAATGAAAAATTGGCTCCTAGGCCCTGCAGTGTACAATGAAGCACATTGTAGAATACAAGTTCTGTAACATGGTTTCTGCTCCTTTTTTGAGCAACAATAAATGAGATCTTGAACAAAAAGAAGGAACCTTCTCTATAATTCATCCTTCAGTTTCTATTGTTCTAACCCATTTGGGACTTCTCTAGGTTTGGAGGGGCACACTAGCTCGCCTTCGTTACAAGAGGACCCGAGCTGCACTCAAAATCCTCAAGTGCTACCGTCGATACAAAGTCAAATCTTATATCTGTGAAGTTGCCCGGCGATTTCACAATGTGAAGTCTATGAAGGATTATGGGAAGCATGTGAGATGGCCCACTCCACCTAAAGTGCTACGGCGATTTGAAGAAGCTCTGCAGGCAATATATTTCAGGTATGAATATAAAGCACTGGGTACACTGGGTGATAGAGCTGGCTAGGTTCTACACTATATCCTTGACATGTCCCAGATTCTGAAGTTGCTAATGTGTTTTGCACTAGAAAAGTGTATAGGTACCATTTCATTATGTGGAAGCCAGAAAACAAAGCCTGTCTAATTCTTAGTCATGTCATTCCATGGTGAGATGGTTGGTATACATCTTCTGATATTCATGGAATTCACTGTATGAAAATACTAGTCACTGTTTAATGGGGTAACCTTGTTCTCTTACTTTCCCATTCCAGTTTCTGTTGTATGATTGCTTCTTACTGTTTTTGTTTTGAGGTGGAAAGCACATGAACTCATCAAGAGTATCCCACCCAAGGATCTGCCTCAGATTAGGGCGAAGGTAGCTGCAATGGAGCTGCTTAAGGGGCACCGGGTCGATATTGGGCTCCAAAGAGCCTGGCAGGGGAACTACCTTGCATCGGTAAGTATAATAGGATATGGGAAACTTTAGTCACTGCATCCTGTGGTGCCACAAAATAGAAATACAGCAAAAGGTGAATGAGGGGAACCTGCTAAAAGTTATTAAAACTTCCTTGCTCTTCTCAGAACTTGCCCCTTTTCTTTGAACCCAATTTTTTTGTCACACTTTTCCTCCTCTTCTGGAACTGCATATACATCCTGTTTTAACAGCCCCAACCTCCCAGATTCCCACCACCAGAAAAAAAACTTTAAAAAAAGAAAAAAAAGAAGGAGCACTACACTTCTGGAAGCCTCTAGTAAACATTGATTATCCTCTAAAACAGTCGGGTGGGGGGGATTTGCCTTACTTTACTGAAAATAAGTATTGTATTATTGTTTTAAATTGTATTGTTTAACTATTAAGAATCCATTTTAGAGTGTATGTTTTTAATATGGTTTAACTATCTTGAAAAAGGCAGGATTTAAACAGTTGTGCTGATGGTGGTGGAAGTGGAAGCAAAAGTCAAATTAGTTCTTGAAGAGTAATATAATGATTCACAAGACATTTTTAAATGTCTTCAGAAATGATAGTTATGAGCCCATTTCCAAAGGGGCCTTCTTAAAAATGTTATGTTATATAGGATGACAGACAGTACTACAAGACAGTTGTAATATTGTTATGAAAGAAGATATTTTGCATGCCACTGAATTTCATTTGTTGGGAAGTTCAGGTGGGGGAGAGCACTTGCAGTCATGGCCTGTGCTTCTCAAACCCATTGCTTGACCACAGGATGCGGAGTGGGGAGAATTATAGTTTAAAAAGACTTTTTGGTTTGGTCTGTTTGATTTCTTCTTCAGGTTAATAATTTGCAAAGACGATCTTGTGTGAGCATTAGGTTTTTGCATCCTGTTGTATGAGAAATTAATGTCATATATGATTTGTTGTTTCTGTTAACTGCTGTCAAGTCAACTTTGATATATGACAACCCTATGAAGAAAAGACCTCCAAGTCACCCCATTGTCAACATCCCTACTCAGGTCTTGCAAAGTTAGAGCTGTGGTTTCCTTGATTGAATCTATCCACCTGTAATGTAGTCCTTCTTTTTTCCTATCATGTAGGATAAGACAGAATAAACTTATATGCATTATTTGAACACTCACGTTCCCATTTTTTAGGTTTTTGGAAACTATGATCAGGCTTTTGAATTTGTCTCAGCCCCAGGTTGGAAAGTTGTGGAAATATATGTTCTAGCTTTTGAAAGCTAATGACTCTTTCTTAATTTAACATTGTTCTAGTATATTCTACCTTTCTCGGTTGTATTTAAGAAACACCATTTTTAAAATCATGTTCAGGTTGACCTGAAATATGGAGGGCAGCAACTAAAGTCAAATGTTTACTTGGGACTCTTTTAGCTGTCAGACCTTGAATAGTAAAGTTGCAGTGACTCTTATTTTAATGATGAAGACAGATTACTCAACTCTCTGTTTGTTCTTTTAGTCTCCAAACAACCCTCAGGCTGCGAGCTCATTTGTCCCCATTGCCTTTGAGTTACAACGAAAGGACAAGTTTATGAATGTTCTCTTCTCTTCTCATGTCCGCAAGGTAAGCACAGCAAACAACTAGTAAAAAATGAGAAAAACTTCCAGTAAGTGAAAGCATGGTGATGGAAGGAATGGGGAGGAGCATGCTTCATGGGGGGGAAATTATACATTTGAGGCTCAAGAAGAAAAAAAAATTAAAAATAAAATATGCAATATGTTCCTAAGAGAAAAGAAGTGAGAAAAAGTTGGCAAAGCAGATAAAGATCTGCACTCAGATTTATAGTTGGTTGTGAAAAATAAATTTGTACATGAATAAAGCACATTTTAAATTTATATTCTGTCCACTAATCTAAATGCGTTGACAAGGTAGCTGACAATAAAAGAACCTAAAACAAAATAAAATGACAGAGTAGAACACCAACAGTATTGCTGTTGTTAACTTCCTCGAGTCAACCTCAACTCATAGTGACCCCTGTGGATGCGACATCCCTATAGAACCATGTCATATAGTTGCTGCTTGTCATTTTTATTGGGACCCTTCCTGGATTTAGCAGTATTCCCTTTGGCTGAAGCATGTGAAATATTGGAGTAATCCTCATTGATTCAATTGTCTACCTGTGTAAGAAGTAATTAAAGCAGTAATGATACTGCAGAGCCAGTGTGGTGTAGTGGTTTGAGCATTGGACTACAACTCTGGAGACCAGGGTTCAAAACCTCTCTCAGGCATGGAAACCCACTGAGTGACCTTGGGCAAGTCACACTCTCTCAACCTCAAGGGAAGGAAGTGGCAAAACTCCTCTGAAAAAATCTTCAAGAAAACCCCATGATGGGTTCACCTTAGGGTCTCAGCCCCAGAAGAAGGCAAAGGAAAATCCTCTCTCAAGAAGTCTTGCCAAAAAAAATCCTACAATAGGTTCACCTTAAGGCTGCCATAAGTCGGAAACAACTTGAAGGCACACAGCAACAACAACAAGATACTTTTAATTTTAATCAGTCCCTTGAATATTAGGAAGGGTATGATTTGGTGGAAATACTGTTTAAAGGGTACTTTCTTATACTAAAGTAAAAAACTAAGTTTGAGAGAATGTGCCTACTCTCTCCTCTTATGTGTATGTGCTTTAGGTGGTGCCTCAGTCAGGTGCTGTGTGAGAAGTGGCAGTCTTTCTTGGCAAACAGCAACTCTATCGGGGTGTTTTCTGGAATGCCATTTTGTTGTGGCGTAATTTTGATTTCTTGAAATAATTTCTCACATTGTTTCTGATTCAGAGACTAAGGATAATATAACAGAGCATTCAGACAGCATGAATTTGTGGCTGCTGCTTAGTTTTTTAATGGGAACATGTTTGAGGTAAAGCTTCTGTGAATTGTCCATATTCCTGATTAGTCCTGGGATTCCTTCATAGATGTGGATGCAAATGTCTGTTCTTTTGCTCATTCTCATACGATGTTCACTTCCAGATTTTCCTTTAAGGAAAGAGAAATTCTATGCTTGGAGAGCATTTTGTAATATATATGTATATATTTGCTTGCTTTAGTTTGTGATCTTTCTCCCCATTATTCAGACTGAATTTTGCAGCAAAGGATGAGTAAAGGAAGCAACTGAGATCCATCAGTATAGATTATTGAGATGGGAACATAAAGGAAAAACGGGAAGATACACAGAGCAAATTCCCTCCAGTTCCTCAGCCTTCAAATATAAGAGGTTTCATTGACTTCCGGTTGGTAATGGCGCCCGATTAAGAAGCTCCAAACTGACA